AAACGTTATTTATATTTCATTTCATTAGAAATAACGGCAGTAGGATTCATGGCCAGTATTTAATCTCAATATACCTTTCATTTATGTTATGTTGCTGTTATGCAGCTTTGGTTTATCTTCTATTAGCTGCAGATATTAATTACATTAATGTTTAGAACTGTCTATCTACATTTCTAAAGATGAATTAAAGTCATTGTCATGCAGTTAAAGATTCCCCTGATGTGTCATGAGGTCAATTTATAAACTAGAATTTAGCCTACAGTAGGGTTCTTATCTTGCATCTCTGCTCCTCCATGTCCTTCACCATGTCATTTATTATTTTGTTGTCCTTCAGCTTTTCTTTGCCACCATTTTTTCTCTGTTCTGTTATGTCAGCCTCGCCACAACATCCATCCTAACAACGCAGTGCCAGCTTTAATGTTCAAAATGAAGACCCATGTGTGACACTGGGCAATGCTGCCTCTCTTTGATTGATGGAGCACAGTAGGAAGGCAGAGGGCAGGGTGAGTCTTGGGTTAGATGAAGTGCAAATTGTACTTTGGTGTTTGAATAATGGTTGGCTGACATAACTCAGCATTCCATCCCCTTCACTCCATGATTGAGAGGTAGAGATTAACCCTATTAAAATAACATGGGAATTTAAGCCTGCAAACATTAACAGACGGCAAAGGGTCGACTTGCACTTCAGTGAGACTGCTAAATAGAGAGATGATGCAGGACTCTACGTCAGCAGCTTTGATCTCTCACGGATTTGCTGAGGCATTTCACCTGGTCAGCTCTGACATCAAAGCTAGACTGGAATATAAGTAAAAGTGTCATTAAGTCATTGCCGGACAATGTCCTCGTGCACTCATATGCCATCCACTCATTCAGCACCACTGTGCCACTTTAACATTGGCCAGACGAGTGAACCTCAGTATCAGCTGTTCCAAATGTGGATCTCTTTGGAAAGCATCAGTGGAAAGATGTGAGGGAGTGCCACTGCTCAGATAAAAGCTATTTTTCTCACAAGATCTCACATGTGTCAGCCTGCTCTCCTTTATTGTGGGCTATTCTAAGAGGGGCCATGAGGGGTGTGCTGGTAGTTTTGGATATTAGATAATTGCAGACATGATGTGGATGATGATAGGTAGCTGCAGCCATAAAAGCATGACCCATGCTCGATGATGTCAGGCCCTGTTAGATAAGTTTCATGTTGCCATCCTAAAATGGAAATACTATTAAGGGAAGCATTATTACACATTTGAATATGGAAGGTGGTCTGGCACAGATCAAGATTGTAATGTAGTGGTCGGCTTCAGTAGGCTTATATCTTGTATCGAAGGCCAGCTTCTGGATTGCATTCACATCAACACTTGACTCCACCAGATGAGTGTTGCTCACTGGTGGTACCGCTACTTATGCTTAAAGCCAATGTCAGAGGGGGTTGGTAAAGATGCCTGTGACTATATGTAGTGACACAGTCCAGGAGGCCGAGTGATGGCAATGCAGGTCTGTTGATTGTTTGTTTACCACTTTGAACCAGACTGAAATAACTATTGGTTTGCTATTACATTTTGTAAAGACATTCATGGGCCCTGACATGTCAAGTGTCACCATGAAGGTAACAATTTGAAATCGGATTGACATTATATTTGAGGGAATTCTAATATTTTTTTGTGATACCCTAACTTTTCATTTAGCGCAATCATCAGGTCAAGTATTTTGATTTTTGCGATACTTTGGTATACAACTAACTACCCAAAAAAAACTCCAGTTTAGACATGCCAGTCTGCTTCTATAATGTGTTTTAACGTCCTAAGCTCCACCCTTAGTATTTATGCACCTGTAACACCAATGGACCACTGCATACCATACATATTGTTATCATCCTCTTGGAACGGATTGCTAAGAGTATTTCTGTGGATAACATACCACCTATAAAAAGGCATCTACATGGCAACTGTAAGGCCAGTAAGGGCTGTCTGTACTGTAGACGAGCTGGTGATAAAACACCAAACACTTGCATGAGTGCATTTTAACACACTCACAGATGTGGTCTCGTTGACACTTCGGAAAAGGTCAGCTAACAATAACCGTCTAAATTTGTACACCTTTATGCATATGTCAATAACAAAATGACACTTCAGCTTTAATTAATTCATTTGATTAATTATTTATCATTGTAACTTAAAAGTTCTCTATTTGACATTAAGAAAATTATGGAGCAGCAACCAACTATTTTCTATGTGAAGATATAGTAGAGTAATGTCTACAGAGAATGAAGTCGCTCTCCCGCTGTGTGAGTTGTAATCCGAGCTTCTCTGGGCTTTGTCGACATAGGCGGGCCAGAAGCACATGTCCATTAGTGCATATTAGTACGTGTTAGCGTGACCCACTGGCTAGCGCACGGCTGCCGCTCTGCACTGCACTCACAAGTGTAACAGAGAACTACGGTGGCCTTCAGGGATCATAAAAACAATATAGGCTCTCGCCAGAGCCAGTGTTTGGTTTGTCCATTCTGGGCTACTGTAGGAACATGGCGGTGCAACATGGTGGGCTCCCTGAAGAGGACCCGGTCCCTAAATTGATATGAAAAGCTCACTCTAAGCTAACAAAGACACAACAATTCTTAGTTTCAGGTGATTATAATGACAACATAGTTATGAATATCACATTCCATTTCTGCTAATAGGTCCCCTTAAATCCTATAATGTTCGTTTAAAGTATCATTAATATCTAAGATGAAATGTAAATGAATCCCAGTAAGAAGTCCCCACATTAAACAGTAAAACATGGTCAGTAATATTCACTATACTAAATCAAGTAATATTTGAAACCTAATACTTTTTATATAAACTTAAAACCAGGTAATAAAAGCACTACATCATTGGAAAAAAAGCAAACAAGGTCATTTATCAGTTTAATTACGTGCAAGTGGTTTGATTATTAGGATTTACATAAAGCAGTGTTATAGTATGTGTTAGATATTTACACAAGAATGGATGCATTCCTTTTAGTGACATTTTCATAAGGTGAAAGGGTTATATATTTGCTTTGTATTTGACTCGATATTAACTCACTAGACCATCTCTGACAGCCGTCTAGGTTTTAAGAATTCATGAGCAATAGGGCTTCTGCTTTCACTTTCTAGTGCAGATGCTCTGCAGATCTGTGTCTCTGATGTTGCACTGAGACTTCTCATTTATGATTTGTGCAGAAATTAAGATGGATGGATAGATTTTTCACTAAGCCTGTTGGTTTATCTGCTTCTTTAAGTGCACCATATACAAAGGATTCATTCTATTTCATTTGAAAGAAGGGAAACAATGTGCTAAATGTGTAAAGGTCATGTCTTCTGCCATGGTCACAATAACCAGCACATAGCTATAAAGGGCTCCCATCCAGTCTGTAAATAATTTAACAGCTTGGTGTGTGTGTGTGTGTGTGTGTGCGAGAGAGAGAGAGGGAGAAAAACAGACACACAAAGGGTGAATTCCCAAGTTAAGCTATCAAAAATCAAGACACGGTCTGGTTGCTTTGCTTAATGAAGACAAAGTTAAAATAAATACAGCATACAGGGCAACACTTAAAGATACAAAACCATAATTCAACATCTGGCGTTAAAGACCTCACAGCAAAAGTGAATTTAATTTTAAATGCTGTGCATAATAAATCATGCCAGAGGTGATATAAATCAACACCTCTTAGAGTTTAACACGTTCGGTTTCCGCTGCCACTAAATGATGTCAGCTCTCTGTCAACAACTGAAAAATCAACACTTGCAGGGTTCACACTGAGCCATTCTGTTCGGATGCACCACAATGTTTAATGGTTGGAAGAGACTAACAACAGAAACTGATTTATCCAAAACTGCTCACAACACTATCGATATAGGCTACTGGAATGTGTTATCCTATAACTATTATCAAATAACAAAATAATTGCTTCAATCAATAACTTCTACAAACAAAATGTCTACTCTACCTGATCATCTCTACTCAGTGTTAGTTTTCACTTTAAAAGTGTAGCTATTATGAAAATAATGAAGTAAAAGTTAATGCTTTTTGGCCCACAATGCAGGTTAACATGAGGTTTATCATTTCCAGTTCTGTATAGACGTTGTAACCCCATTCTCAAAACACAAGCTATACCTCAAACGTTAACCTATAAATTACTTGTCATGTATTAATAGCTCAACATTTGCCTTCAACCTGTTTGATGACAACATGGTATGCTGCCAGGGAAACACAGATAGACATTTTGGCAAGGCTCTATCTTTATTCCCAGCATGGGTCTGTGGATCACTCACTGATCCCGACTGTTATTATTGTCATGTTCTAGCCATTAACACACAGCATGTAGCTTCCATAAACTCTCCACTGCGCTTCTGCTGCAGATGGAAGGTAAAGTGGCACTTTCCTGTTAACAGCGGTGAGCTGCACACAGGCCGACTGTTGTGTGTCCTCTGTTGTGCGAGCACTGATTGAATTGGCTACACGAAGACCCAATGGGAAGCTCGCGGTAGACTGTTGCTGAATGAAAATAACAGAAGCCATTTTGCGCACGAAGCTATGGCATCATTCAATAATAATACAAGCGGAAACGGTCCATTTCTGGATAGACGCGGTGTGGGACTGCGGTGCGACTGTCGCTTGTAGTAAAAAAGACATGCTGTAACTACTTGTGCAGCTGCGCCGCCGATTCCTTTGAGGTTTGTGTCCTGGGGGGAAAAAAAGGGGACAGGGCAGCTTCACCGCATTGCTATCCGAGCCCGAGTGACCCCCCGAGAGAGGGAGGTGCCTTTATAGTTAGCTGACCGACACCAGGGCAACATCCATGCGCGTCGACAAAACAGGTGTACGGTTTCATCTAACGGACACTGCGCTAGCCTCCGAGCCGCTGTATAGCTCCTGTGGTCCGCTACAAGTGAGGACTGCCGTGTTTACGCGTGGAAGAGGCTGAATAACCTGGCGCTATGTTGCAGAATCGGTCGAGTGAGGCGGCTGTAAGGTAAGGTAACGTTACGGACCGTGTCAGCAGTGGTGGTGTTAAGGTGGCTATAGTATCTTTTCCTCCGCGTCGCTTTTAGCAGCTGCAGCGGTTACCAACCCAGAGCTGAATACCGAGCTGTTCTGAGGAGGTAAACAGGCTATTTTTGGGAGGTTTATACGTGTGTTACAAGCAACAATAGTGAGAACAGGGCAAATGAATCGGCTCATCCGGGATGCGCTGAGTCGCCTCTGTTTCCACAAAAGTGCATTCCAGGGGATTGTTGTTTCCAGTGCATGAGGTCTAGGGAGGATGTTAAATACCCCAAAAACCACAAGATTGTAAGCTGTATAAATGTTGCTTAACATTAGTAGTAGCCCAAAGACAGTCAGGACGAGAGATTAGCAGCCATGCTGCTTGGTAGCAATAAGCATGAATTGGGATATCCATGTTTAGCCTACATCCCAAATGCTTAGGATAATCTCTATTGTTTGCTTACACTTCAACAGTGCAGTATTGTTTGGCTAGCGGTAAAAAAAAAAAAAAAAAAAGAGTATACAGTAATCTTAGTTTAGTCAATTATGCAGGTTTATCTTCATTAATACTTTACCATTTAGAGATTTTGTTTTTAAAGTTTTGTATTCCAATTTATTCTCCCAAAACCAGCCCACTAATACATTTGCTTGTTGCGTTTACTCGTATTGAGAGAGCATGGATGAAACCCTGGGTCTCTGACTCATGAATGGTACTGCAGTGTTTCATGTCACATTTTAAGAGCACTCTGTTGCTGTGTTGCCCATGTCATAGTCCAGACCTGACAGACAGTAGTAAGGAGTAGTCATCCCCTGCGTGGCGTTGGTGCTGCCTGCTCACTGATATAAAGGGATGATGTAATGAGGAAAGAAAAAGGGCCAGCAGCGATGGATGGTATCCGAGTCCCAATTGAATGCTGGGTGAGAAGAGTGGGGAGGTGTCCAGGATGCACAAAATGTAACACTATCACTCCGGGAACCTCACACCACTCCCGGTGTGGCCTACCTGGCCTGTGTGTGTGTGTAGGCATTACTGGAGGGTATCTCTATGTATTTCTTTGACTGACATACTTGTGTCTGGGAGAGAGGAAGCGACACAGCGGGATGCAGTATGACAAGCAACAGTTGGCCGCTATCTGTCTCACGAGGGGCCAATATACAGGCTCTCATAGAGAGAGGCTTAAATATACACACTTAATGGGGGATCATTGCATTTGACTTGATTGATGGCCAATGAGCCAGAGAGTATGTCTCTGTTAGCGTCAACTCAGTTGCACCTGCCAGTTTAGAGTTACCGAGAGGGAGACCGTGTGTGTGTGTGTGTGTGTGTGCATGCATGTTTGAGTGAGAGACAAAGAGGAAGAGAGAGTGGGCGGAGGAAAGGTGATCAAGGCAGGCCATCGGGGGAATAGACAGTGATACATTTTCTCGTGAAAGCACAGAATGTAACAGGGGGTTACTGTCAGAGTTACGTTTTTCTCTCTCTTTATTTCCCTCCATCTCACACACTTGCTCTGCTGTCCTCTGTTTGCCTGTCTTTCTCCTCCATCTTCCCATCCCTCTGCCCGTCTTCAGAGGCTGATGTCATGGCTCAAGTGTTTTTTTTAAAAAGCTTGCTCAATCATCTTAGTCTCACTGATTTACAGCTGCAGGACAAGCTTGTTCCCCCGACCTTCCCCAATCACCATCTATAATCAGATCTCGCGTTTATGAAGTGTTATAATTGCAATAACTAAGAGCGAGCACAAGGGGAAGCAGCTGATGGGGACACCTGGACATTGTGCCTACACATTTCCAATGATCAGATGTGGAGGCATTTCGAGGCAGAGACAGAAATGAGGATACTGAAGAATATGCATATTATCAAAACATAATGTACGGGTACATCTTTACTTAGACATGTCCTGACCAGCCAGGATCCTTGTCTTTTTGAACTATCCTAAATTCTATTTCTGTCCAGTGAATTTGAATGTATCCATTTCAGTCGGCGTACGAATAAACGCAAGTTTATCGCAGCAGTGTAAAAAGGCAGACTTTAAAAACAGTCTCTAAGCAGTCAAGGATTGAGACGTGCTTTGAACTAATTAGAGACTCAACGCAGAGGTATTAAGGAATCTATCCCGCTAAGTGTTGGAATACTACCTTGAGTACACAGTAGGGCATCAATCTGCTCCGCTTTTGACGATGCTTGACGAGTGTTTGCTGCCTGCTTCTTGCAGATCATCGCCAATGGATGAACACATGCAGAATTTGAACAACATGGTTTTTAGAATTTCTCTTCATTGTAATCAAAAAACACATGCAGCACCTCAATTCTTTGCTTCTGTAGTATCCAGCCCATCACAGATTAAGGCAATTCTGAAATGTCTTGGGTAAAGCTATATGCTTTATTAGATACAACAATAAAAATATGATACTATTTTAATTATTTAATGTAATGGAGCAAGATGTGTGTGTATGTGTGTTGTGCTGCAGGGCTGTGAGAGTGTTGCTGTTGGGATTCTCTTAATCAAAGACTGTATGAATTGTTTATATCTACAGTGCTCTGTAGGAGAAAAATGCTTCTGTTAGACCTCAGAGGTCTTAAACATTTTGGGATTATGGTTCGCTGGTTTGAAATGTATCATAAATGGCTTACTTATTCTTAATTCACATCTAAAAATTGTATTTACTGTATCTGCTAGCTCATATTCCGCTGCATTGTGTGCCGTACAAACGCAAGCGTTGGTATCGTCTCTGCTGAGCAATATATTGATGGATACATATTTCCCTTTTCTGCTCCCATGGTTTAAGTGTTTTCCAGTAAGTGACACTTAGTAATGTGTACAGGCGCAGCTCTCCTGCTTTTTATAATCTGCCACTTACTTAACTGGGAATGGCGGGACCTTGCAGAAGCTGATAATGAATTAGGTGTTGAAACTGTACTGGCGAGACCGTGTCGACGCGGCCCACTGTAGTCCGGAGTTGCTCATAGGTCAGAGTGTCAGTGTGTTTGAGTGAGTGTGTGTCGGTCGCCATAAAAATAGTTTGCTCTGGTACTTAAATGAGATCATTCCTAAGCTGCTGCTGCTGCTGCTGCTGCTGCTGTGTCATGTCCGTTTTAATTGTTTTTATAAATCTTTGCTTCACATGAAAACAAAAAAAAGTCGCGTTTTAGTTTTAGTACATTAAGGGTTGTGATCCAGAACTGTGAAACCACATCAATTAGTGATGTTTGCTCAAGATGTTGATGGGAGATTTTGTCTCGTCATCTTTTGTAAAGTCACATGGGTTAAAGGATAATGTCTGAAGTAAATAGATAATATCTTCAATAGCGACCTAAACTAATACTTTATTGGTCTCCTGATTCTGGCTCCGAAGTGACATCATTAGCACCTGTCAGTTGTCAGCTTTTCACCATAGCTCCGTGATCCTCGGCTCGTGGTCAGAAATGTCTGTGGGGGGGCCAGCTGCTTTTTTGACCACGTCTGCAGGCACACCCATTACTGTGGTGTGCTGTGGAAACCCCAACGTCTGAAGCCCGAGTGATTGGTGGACACATAGTTGCAGGAGGGCTACATATTATTTGGAGCCATCTATGACCGTGTAGCTTGGATTTCTACATTGCCGCTTCATCATTGATCCGGAACATCTTAACTAAGGCCATCCACGGCACTAGTTATTTTTCTCCATTCCTTGGCTTTAGCATGTCCCTTAAGTCCACTGTTGACGCTATTAAACATTCTGGACTTTCCTTAATTGATCTCCGAAAGCAGTCCATTTGAAATGTAGACACAAGCTGCTAATGGAGCCACATTACCATACATTAACGGATTCCCTTCGTAGAGACTGCTGGACTCTTCCTGAACCCTACCGCACAGTAATTCGTTAGATGTTGATTTTTGTGCCCGTTTTGTTTATTGTCAAGTATGGGTGTGAAGGGAGGAGATGGAAGTGATCTAAATAGCATGTTGCACAGTAGCTGCCTGGTCGGTTTTAGGTATCCAGGCTCCAAATGTGAGATGCTAATAGCAGTTGTTACATCATCATTCTGAGAATAGCAGGGAGTCTGGGGTCTAGAGGTGCCTCTGGCTGACCGTGCTGCATATATTCAGCCTGTGTGTGTGTGTGTGTGTGTGTGTGTGTGTGTGTGTGTGTGTGTGGTCATTTCCAAATATACAGTCCCATATGGATTACACAGCAGTACGATTATTAATGACACAGGTGAGTGGACACGTAATTAGTCTGTGTATATTTACAGCCCGATGTGACGCCGACTGAACGCGGCCTACCAGCGATAAAAAGAGAGAGAGTCGCTGTGTCTGCCTCTCTCCGTGTGCATCTCGGGAGCAAGCCGTCTTCCCAGGCAATCAAAAGTGTCAGCGTCAGAGAGAAAATCTCATGCGAGAACAATTTGACACTCCTGTCATTTTTTTTTTTGCGTGGAGTGGTCCACTTGACATAGCCCCACGCTGACGACACCGGCTGCTGTGTGACATTAAAGCCCTCTCTCTGTCTGCTCACTCCCACCGCCATCCCGCTTTCATTTCACCGTACATAACACGTCAGAGATGTACGGACCTGATGCATTCCGCACCATAGAATTACATAGTTTGTGTTTTTTACAGTATGTGGAGGTGAGTGTGTCTGTCCTTGTGTGCATATGTGCGTGCAGACTGTGTGTATGGTATGCACTGGTATGCACAAACGTGCGCGTGTGGTAAAATAGAGATAGTCAAACCTGTCGCTTAGCCCCCACCCATCTACACCGGAGGGGGTAACTTTCCAGTCCCATAGACGAGCATGTCTGAGTCTGAAAATAGCCGTATCTGATCACTGCTTCACCCAAACGGGGGACTCTCTTTCCCTGTCACTCCCACTCTTTGGCTCTCTCACTTTCTCCTCGTTCTGTTGTCTCTGTGCTCCCCAGGCATTAAACGGGGTAAGATCTGGGAATAAAGCTTGACCGGGCGGAGAGACTTATCCTGAGCGGAGGATAGAAGACCAAAAAAAAAATAAATAAAAAAAAAAAAAATCAGAATATAAGAAGAGAAAGAGGGAGGAAAAGGCGCTTGGGCTCACAGCTCACCTATACCTGACTCTTCTTAGCAAGTCTGCAGTCTTTTGGGTTTATGACGGTAAGAGATAAATTTCCTCCGCTTGATGGACTGTTGCACCTGCAGGTCAGGCTTTTGGGGTTAAATATCACAAAAGATACTCGGGTTGCATTTCATGGGTGAATAATGTGCTCATGTGCATTTTCATGCCAAAATAGAATATTTATTAAATTCCAGTTTTTGAAAGAAGATTGGAGATTTACATTTTGGATTGACAAATACAGGTTTAATTTACCTTCCTAATTCATGAAAGAGAAATCATATGATATATGTATGCATGAGTTATGAACAATTGAGTTTCAAAAATGGCCTTTTTAATGAAACGATTGAAAACACACAAAAACAGATCATATATTGCCGTCGACTCCTTCGTGAACGCACTGATGCTTTAAAGGGACTGCAGTTTAAAGGGATCGGAATAGATTTTACAACCCAATAACACCAAAAGGGAATTGTATTTATCTGTTCTGCCAAATCCCTCAATTATAGACCGAGAGAGTAGAACTTTTGTCTTCCGTGACATTGAGCAGGGGAAATGGTGTCAAATAAAACAATGGTTGCTACCGCGGTCACCTCAGAAATAGCATCAGCAAACTACAGTTTTGTGGATTGAAAAGTGTTATATGTCAACCCTAGAAGATTCATTTAACTTAACTTTTAAACTAAAAAGGGAAAGTTTCAATTAAATGTAGGCTTACACACAGCAGAAATTCCCTTGAATCAACTCAAGTTGATTTTTATCTTATATGTTTGTGTTTTGTTTCGCTAAATATCGAGAACATTTTTTAAATCAGTCCCCTACAACTTCCTGTTCTTTTTCCCTTTTACGTCTTACCTTTCCATAATTTGGCCCGCAATCCCATTTTCTTCCCTCTGTCCCTTTTTTACATACTTCCATCTCTTGTTACACACTTTTTTTCATGGTCTCTTCTTTCCCACTCAACAAAAGCCATGCTCCAATCCCTCCATTAGGCCAGTCTCAGAGGTGTTGAGGAATGTCACCTTGACCCCTTGGGTACACAGTAAGGGGTGGTTCCCAGCCTCGGTTCGTAGAACGGGCTCGCTTGGTTCCCTGTCTCCTGGACCTGACAGACACACAGTGGGGCACTTTGTCTGTTCCCTGTAGGAGGAACGTCCCAGGGCAGCCCATTTTTCCATGGTAAACGTCACATTATTAGTACCATAAATTATTAATTCCAGTCCCACTAAAACTTAATTTCTGTGCAGAACTCAACAGTGCTCCTGTAAATACATTTTGGTTAGCAAAATAAGCCACACTATTTGGGACAGAGGTGGCTTGAATTGCTCGGCTGGATTATTACAACCTGCGATGTGGGTTTAGGAAGTAGTTACTCTGTTAGAGAGAGCCCAAAATAAGTCAGGTTTGAACACAGATTTACTTATTTATATGTCTAGAATAAACTCCTGCATGTTTTGAGGTATGCATGTCCTACAAATCAGAGAGCTTATAGGGCTGTGCATAAATAGTATTGTTTCGCTGTTAGCAGCTTGAAACTTTAATTCCACTGTTGCTGTCTCTCTGTTTTGCCCTCCTCTTCCTCATTCCTTCCTGATACTATGTGTTTGTTTAAAAGCTGATGTACAAAGGGACAAAGACATTCAAAAGTTGCCTTTGCAGAATAACACAAGGCTGTTGAATTACAGTCTCATGAGAATGTGTGATTCTCTCTCTCGAATATGTTGGCTCAAATCGACTGTCATTAGATGCCGTATTGCTTGACACCATAAACATCAACACAGGTGTGTCAGGTGATTGAGCATAGATGTCATTCCTCACTGTCAAACCCATGATGACTTGATTTCAACATATTCAGCTCTCTGAGATACTTCCTGTTGTGATGATGAAGGTTGCCATCTCTCTTTATTAACCGCCTGGTGAAATGGAGGAATTGTAAAATGTAAACTGGTGACGTTTCCTCGTGCCTTCCACCCAGAGTACATCGAAATTCCTCGGATGGATTTTCCCGATGATCCGGACCAGCTTAGAGGGTAAAGGGTCCTGCCTATTGGCAGTAAATATAGCACCCCTGCTAATCAAGTTCCTCTTATCTTCATGCTCGACACTTAACACTGGTACCTGCCTGGGGAATCCAGACTATGTATGGGGGGGATGTAATCTTAGCCACAGCTGATAGCCATCCTGCTTTAGTGTACTCCTTGAGTATTTTCAAAATGTTTTTCTATGTTTTCATCATTCGATTTTGAAAATGTTATAAAAGAACGGCAAAGAAAATCTTTACTAAACAAACTTTGGATTAGATTTGCAGATATATTCATTCTTAAAGGTGTCAAATCTTTCTGGAAGATGCCTTTTATTTATCATCGACCACTCGTTCTTCTTCCTGTGGAGGTCTAATGATCCGCAAGGCTTCTTTGCTGTCATGGAGTAATTTCCCCACAAGAGTGATGAATAATAAGCAGTGTTTACCTCGCTCACTCTCTAGAAAGGAGTGTTTACTATCCCAGTAGAGTCTGAAGGAGCTCATTTCTGCATTCCTGAATATCTCTTCTCCATTAGGAGCAGCACGGGCCTCTCAATTACTAGATATGCCACATTCAGTTAGCATCTTAGGCCTGATGCATCGGTACCAGATTGGATTCAAATTGGAGTGAAAGACAATTATTCAGAATTGTTAAAGGGACTGCCGTTCAATTTGAAGGATTCAGTCATGCTGGGATGGCCCATACTGTAGGGCACATAAATCAGCATTTTGTCATGAGATCTTTTTCTTAAAGACCTGAACCTGTTTTGGAAAAGTCCTATTTAAAAGCAGACATGTATTCGGTGTCATCTACAATCTTTCTGCTGTCTTTTATGACCCGTCTAAGCCATGCTACTCCTCTTACTTTGGATCCTATATTCACTTGCATTAGGTGATAGTCGTGGCATTTACCTACCGAAGGTTCTTCCTTCACTCAACCATTTGAAAAAGTCCTTCTCTATTGCACCTTGTAGCACTCTGTCCCTCTATCTGCTCATGTCGTTGTGCCTCCTCGGCTTATATTAGCTCGTTGTGGTTGTCTCGGCTAGTAGCCGGGGTTCGATGGTGTTGCAGCCTTTATGGCCGAGCTCTACATGTAGCATCCACGTCGCGCAGAGGAGGAGATGAAACCGTGGCAGCTCTTGAGGTGTTGTTTACTCGCGATGCTGTGTCCCCAGACGGCTTTAGCCAGACAGCTTATGTAATACTACATGCTAATATTGGCTCCTTTCCGTTTTCGGCCCGTGTTTTGTTTCTTTCAACATATTCCTTTTGGGACCCTCTCATCCTCTCTGTGATTCGTATCTTTGTCAGTGTTCAGCTATGTTTTTGATTTGCCATTTTCTTCTTCACTTGTCTAAGTATCTCTTTTTTTAATCTCTGTCTTCTTCTCTGTGAACGTCAGAGCAGTATAAAGCGAATGCGTCGTTACTTCTGTATAGAAATGGTAAGATAACAAACCCACGAGTTGTCACATCCAATTCATTCATTCTTCCCCCACAGCCCGGCACTCACACAGTGCCGGGCCGGTGTTGCATAATTGCATTAGTGCTCTCAGGCCAATGGCTGTGCTCGTTAGTGGGGTTGTGATGCAATCTGCAGAACACACGGGCCTCTGTTGTTAGCAGTATGGGCAGTGAGTGGGCACGCAGGGTCAGCGTATTGACCTCCCCTATCCATTCATACAGCTGGAGGGGGGTCTGCTAATGAGTGGCAAGGTTGAACAAACAAGGCTGATAACAGAAACTTTGTTGTTCAACTAGTGGCGGTAATGTGGTGGTGGAACAGTCACATGGAGCTGATAAATGACTCCTTCTGAAATAGCCTGCGTCTCACAACAAGCAGCATTTATTTGTGTCAAAGAAAAGGTTTAAAACTTTGTTTTAAACTATCATTTATGCTGTCAGAGAAGGTGTGTTTCTCATTTTTAGAAATGCATTAAAGCAGCTATTGTATTGTATTTGATTCAAACCTTGGAATGGTAGAATATCACACTATTTGTGATTAGTGCTCAGTGTAAGTCACTGTTCTAAATTCAAATGCAGGCCAAGAAGTTTCTAAAAAAAACAATGTAACTAAGTTTTTCTTAATAACCTTTTGCAAAACGTTCAAGACAAAACAAATATTGTTGGCAAGTGACCAGGGAAATCGTTCTGATGAATGCATTCAAATAAAATATTTGATCACTTCAGTCAAGGATTTGGACACGTGCAACTGTGTAGTGCTTTAAGTCTTAATGTGGTATTTTCACATTTTTATTTCTGATTTTCTTTTATTTTATTGAGTTGATGGGACCTTTGTTCTTGTTGCCTTTTCCAAGTTTTTATTTGGAGTGACTCTAGTGAGCCTTTATGACAAGATGGCCTTTTAAATACAACATCGAAAATAACTTCTTCTTCTCTTGCTTGTATGGAAATACAAATTCCACAAATTCAGATGGTCCCACATGTATGCAATATAGACCTTCGCTCTATCTGAAGTCATCACAGCCTTAAAAATAAATCCGAACAGCCTCATTATTTAATAATGTATCATCGACATGAATAGGTCCACTGTGCCATGTAGTTACACTTCAGTAGGTTAAGTGGCCATAGAGCCAATATTATTTTATTAATTTGTCCAAAATGAAGGTTTGGGAGACAACAAGTGACAAGTTGTCTTTGCAGCATCAAATGTAACACTCGGCTGCTGCAGCAAAAAGATCAAGTTCCTTCTGCTCGTAGTAGCTTTCAGTAAAGCGTTGTTTGACAATCAGTGTTTGATGATCCAAACTTTAAAATGAAGAAGGATGTGAATGTAATACGCTTTAAGTTCACTGTGTT